GGGTTCTTTTTTTTTTTATTTATTGCTCTAAGCTGGAAACATTGCTTGCCCTTTTAAATCCCCTCACCAAAGCCTCTTATATAAGCCCACATTTTGGAGCCTTTTCCTTCTTCTTTTCTAGAATTAGGAGCCTTTTTCCCTAACAATTTGGTGAACCCTTCATTGTTGAAGATTTGGCAGCAAAATTGAGGGAAGTTTGTTGATGACTGCTATTTTTAAGCTAATTTCTGTTGTTCAAACTGTTAATTTTCAGTCCATTATATTGCCAAATATCCTAGCTATTTTTATTTAAGAAAATGCACAATCATTAATTTAAAATACTATTTTCAATCCTCTACCTTCATTTTCGATACATTTTCGTCCTTGGTTCATTTACTCTAATTAGTTTCTATACTCTCAAAATGTTCTTTGGGTTCATATACTTTTAAAAGACAACCATTTTGGTCCCTTAATTTTATTTTTAATCTCATATTTCTATCTAATGTCTATGCGACATTATACTTCGATATATTTTTTGAAATATAATTATGATTTTATGTTAAAGGGTTTCCGTTATGGTAAGAATTTGTGTAAAAAAAATTTAAATAGGTATTAAAATTATCACTTTTTAAAAGTATAAAGACAAAAAATGAACATTTTGAAAGTATATAGATTAAAATAAACTAAAGTTGTGACCAAAATGATTATTTTGAAACTATTGAACCGATCTCATCTACTTGAAAATTGAGTAACAGTTGGTATAGAGAGTAAAATTGTATTTTAACTGTTTCTTTTTAACTTATATATATTGAATCTGGCTCATTTTTTTGTGTTTGCTTACTGATGTGTGAGAATTTAACACGTTATAAGCTAATTGATGATTCATGTGTAGTGAAATGGAATTCATATTTTGAAAAGATGTTAAATAAAAGTCCATATTATTTTTAAAACATAGTTTTAAAATAATTTGTTTCTAAACTAGTTTCTAAAATATTGTAGTTTTTTTTTTTTAATTATTTCTTTATAATATTGTAGATGTTCAAAAAGAACAAAAAATAATAAGCTAATGGCCAGTGAAACCACATAATGTATGTCATGCCGTCAAATCTGGGAAATTACATTTATACAGATCTTTTCCTATTTTTAACTCTTTTTTTTTCAATCTCTTCGCATTTTCTCTCAACTTTTGTAGTACAATATGTGGAATGAAGGATTTAGTTGTAAATATATGCGAATTATTATTGAACTATGTGGACATATTTTCTCTCAATTACTGTTCTCCCTTTTTTTAAATTATTTTATATAAATATTTTATTTTTTATTTTTAGTACAATTTTTTACCTTTATAATTTGATCATCTTTCTCTTCATATTTTCTCTCTATTAATATTATCCATTTTTTTAATTATTTTATATAAATATTTTATAATTTGATCRTATAATTTATAAACAATTCTTAGAATCATAAAATAATAGATTATAGTAACTTATTATTAAGAATTGTAAAAACAAATTAATAGTTCGAGGACTTAAATTAATTTTAAATATATAAATAAATTATACAATTGAGAAATTAGATAAAAAATTAAATTAATAACATTATTAAAATTACCGAAGATGTTATGTAAAACATTTAAAAAATAATAATAATTTATTTTTCATCATTTCATATTATTTATTTATATAGCTAAGAGATATGAAACTCTAAATAAATAAAAATTATTTAAACGTCAATTTAAATACGAAGTGTCTAAATATATAACAATCAAGTCAGACTCCCTATAAGAAAATAAAAAGGAAGAAGAAATAATTATCAATAATTTTTTGTTGCTCCATATTATGTGTTCATATTATGTATTTTATATGACTCAGAACACATAATATGAGGTCTCTAAATAAATAATAATTTTATTGTTAATATTGAAAGGTTGGTAATCTATAGAGAAAAAAAAAAGGTAAAATACATTTTTGGTCCCTGAGCTTTGAAGTAGGTGTCTATTTGGTCCCTGAAGTTTCAAAATGAACACTAGGTTTGAAGTAGGTGTCAACTTGGTCCCTGAAGTTTTAAAATGAACACTTTTGATCCATGAAGTTTGAGAAATAGTTCTAAATGGTCTTTTTTTTACTGTTAATTAACTAATATTAAAATGATGTGACAAATTGTATTTAAATTGTTTATTTTAGTTGTTGATGTGACACATTATATTAATTAACATATATATGTGTAGGTGAGGTGCTTTCTCCCTCCTTCCTCATCTTTTCCTCTCTCTTACTCTTACCCTTTTCCGGCGACCACCATATCTTAATCGTTACGGTCCGTCATTCATACCGGACATATATCATTTAATTAATATAATTTATCAAATCAGCAACTACAATAAATAATTTAATTGCAATTTACCACGTTGATATTAGTTAATTAACAGTAAAAAAAATCAGGGACCATTTAGAACTATTTCTCAAATTTCAGGGACCAAAAGTGTTTATTTTAAAACTTCAGGACCAAGTTGACACCTACTTTAAACTTCAAAAACTAAAAGTGTTCATTTTGAAACTTCAGGGACCAATTAGACACCTACCTCAAACCTCAGGGGTCAAAAGTGTTGATTTTGAAACTTCAGGAATCAAGTAGACATCTATCTCAAACTTTAAAGACCAAAAATGTATTTTACCAAAAAAAAAAAATCTCTAAAAATGTTAGCTACGACCAAAGCTCAAATTTAGGACCTTATAGATAGATATAAAAACAATCTATAACCACATCAACGTCATTTAACGAAACCGTCTTTTTAAGAGATGATTTCAAAACTACAATATTCACGGAATTAGTTTTGAAAAAAACTATATTATACACTATAATTCCTTATTTTAACAAGGTTTTTGTTAAGATTCAAATTACCCTAGCCCCGATAAAATAAAATAAAAAACCTATTAAAATATGTTTTAACTACAAATTTGTAGGTACTCGAAAGAAAATTACTACAAATTTGTAGGTACTCGAAAGAAAACTACAAATTTGTAATTTGTTAGTATTTTATTGAACATGAATAAAATAAGTAATTTGTTTAGTTAATTCTATTTTTAGTTTAAACATAATATTTATTGTTTGAAAAATTTAAGATTATAGATATAATGTTGAATAGTATATAGTCGTCCTAGAAGATGCAAATGTGTTAAAAGTAACCTAAAAGCCTACCGTTATGTTAAAAGTAACCTAAAAGTATACCGTTATATGTGAATAAGACTAGGTACTTCATCTCAATAACGTTATTTTACATAATCTAATTCTATGAATTAAAAGTTGCAGTTAATCTTATTCAAATTATTTGTGCTAGGGATTAATGCATGTCGGAATAATAATATATATGTGTAAGGAATTGGTTAAGTCTAGACCATAACATATTTGTTTTTTCTTCGTAAAATCTTTTATTTAGAAACAAATATATTATATAATGATTATYGATCTTAATATTAACTGGGATAGTTTGATAATTTACTTGATAAAAATAACTGAGATAGTTTATTCAATAGGCCTACCATTTTTATGACGTTTAAATGGAGAGTTAGAAAAATAAATGGTTCCATATTGTGTTTACTCGTTTCCATATATACTAGCTAGAAAGTATTATTAGGGCCATTTTGGTAATTTTCTTTTTCTGTTTCCTCTTTTTTTAATAAATAAAAATATTACTGCATGATTCTTGATTCAATAATGATAAAAACAATATTTTTATTTATGTTTGAACAAATTGAAAGCGGTAGAACAAGAAACAAAAAACTTGTTTTCGTTGTTTCTAAAACGTTTATACAATTTTGGTAATATTTCTAAAAATAGAATTATTTTTTTTACATATATATATAGTAGAACAAGTGGCATGTATATTATTTTAGTAGAACAAATGGGGGTGGTGGATTCGAACTCCTGACCTCTTGGTAGACAATTTCAATTACCGTTGAGTTGGCCATAAATTTAGATCGATAATATGGATTAATTAATTATTTTTTATCATTGGATCTGGCGACTTAGAGATACATAAGATCTCATTTAACAGCTCATAAAATTACTTATATATCGATCAATTAATTTGAAAGAAATGTTTGAAATGTTCAAATTTTAGATCTTTCTTTATGGAGCGAATACGTTGATATATACGAGGAAAAAGTGACAAAAAATAACCAAATCCAATAAGTTGAGTTGGGCCCCTGACCATGTGGCCCATAAATAGTTCATATTGGGCTTGGTTTTGAGCGTCCATAGGTAAGGTTACAAGTAGTAGAAATCTTTAGTAACAGAGGCACTTTAATGAAAAAGGACCATAAATACTTTTTTTTCAATAGCAATAGTGAACAAACAAATCAAGGGAAGCAAGAAAGACAATCAAAAGCAAGAACTCGGATGATGGCTGTGGGAACTTCCTCAAGCCACACCCTATTAACACGTTGCACTAGAGCAACTCTAGCTAACTGGTGTGCAGCACCATTACCCTCCCGAAAACCCGAAAAGTAAAGCAAAAAGTAATAGATCCTGACAAATTGCAGCGACGCCGAACATTAGAAAGAAGCATCCCCACTTCCCTCGATATCACCTGCCAAGAGTCGAAAGCAGCGCAACGAATCAATCTCGACGTGGAGCGTACGAAACCCCGTCTCTAGAGCCAAACCCAAAGCCTCCTTAATATCAAAAGCTTCCACCATGTCAACTAAGTCACAGTGAGGAAGAAAAAAGGTAGCAGCGAGAAGACACACTCCAGTCGAATCCCGAAGACAACACCCACACCTGCACCCGATGAATTGGGGGAGAGTGATGCATCACAATTCACCTTAAATCCCCTAGGTGGAGGA